ACATTATACGCTGTCTCTTATACACATCTCTTATCTATCGCAGATAATATTTCAACATTATACGCTGTCTCTTATACACATCTCTTATCTATCGCAGATAATATTTCAACATTATACGCTGTCTCTTATACACATCTCTTATCTATCGCAGATAATATTTCAACATTATACGCTGTCTCTTATACACATCTCTTATCTATCGCAGATAATATTTCAACATTATACGTATCGCATAAAAGAAAATTCAACGTGGCGCCACGGAGGATTTCTGTAAAACCGGCGTGGCATTCGACGTGTTAAGAGAAGCGGGTCGAAAGGATGAATCGGAACGTGGTCGCAGTGTCGTGGTCGTCTTCTCCGCTGGTTATGTGGAGCGATCGGTGTCCGAACGATTATTTTGCTATCACGGTCGCGATCGATATCGCGTGTGTCACTGGAACGAGTCCAGCGGCGGTCGGCCGAAGTTAGCCGGCAACGGGTGCGCGACTGAAAAGAGGATATGACCGAGATAACGCGGACACGGGACCGGCGCTAAAACGATTCGTGGTCCCTTGGCGATTTAACAATTGACTTGCGCGGCCAGAACGTCGTCTGCAGAGCGTAATTGCGGCCGACTACGGTGCCCGTCGTCGTCGTCGTCGTCGACGACGCTGCGTCGGCGACGCAGTCCCGCGCTAATGGGTTCCTTGATATCCACGCTGCTCGGAAACCACCCTCCTCTCGGCCGTCTTTCCCATCCACGGCGAATCGCGGCGAAGATCTCCGACGTCCCTATCCCCCCCCCCCCCCCCCCCTCGCCGATCGAACCAATTAACCCTTGCATCGATCACCGGCGAACGCTTCTCGTTACGAGTGCGCGGTGTCGATGGTCCAATTATCATACAAGGAGAGAGGCTGTTCCAACACCCGGCCGGGGGAAAATCTCAACATTGACAAGATTAATTGATCGATTGGTCGATCGATCTCGAGACGTACCTGTTACGGGAGCTGACGATGCCGGAGTGCAGCACTTTGCTCGCCTCGTCGGGGACGCAGTAAAAACAGGATTTATAATTTGAGGGGGGGAGGTCGACGATTGTTGTGGCACGGGGCGGTTGTAACGTTGTTGAACATCTCGAGATATGTAATTAATGTTAAGAGAGGTATTTAGGTATTTTATTATTAGTATCATTTTATTATTATTGTTATTAGGTATAATGGTGTTAACATAATAATAATTAATTAACGTTAACAGAAGTATTTAGGTATTTTATTATTATTATTACTTTATTTATTTTATTATGATTTTATTTACTATTATTATTATCATCTTATTTATTATTATAACCGTTCAACCGAGCATAAAAAAAGCTCTGCCTGAAAAAAGGAAATAAGAAGAAAAATTCGGTATAACGTCTTCTTATCCGGGGCTCCGTTTTATCCCGGTTCTCATCGCAGAGTTCAAGGAGAAGCTTACTCGAAGCTTCTGCTCGTCGGTTCAGTCGAGACGAACGAATTTAAGGGGTGGGCGGGGCTGCACCCCAAGGAAGGGTGCAAGCGGCGCAAGAAATAATTGTCCCGATTGTTCGGCCGTGACAGTCGGTCGCATCGATTTCCGGAAAACGTCCGGCGAGCGACTTTCTGCAAACAGTGCAATCGACGCGGCTCGACGCGGGCGGTCCTCGACTCGGTCGTCCAAATACACTGGCCGACGAAGTCGGTGTTTACGGGATCCCGCGGAAAATTGGGAGCCGAGTGCCGGAAAAGCGGAAGCAGAATTCCAGATTCGGAAACGGAAGCGCCGCCGTGTTTCGGCTCGCTGCAACGAGCCGGAAGCCGCCCTTCGGCGGCCGGGCAGCCGGCGTTGTTTGCGCACCGACGTTGTTTGATCTGATAATGGAAAATTGTTCAGCCTCCGGATAAATCTATCTACTTTTCCGTTGACCGTAAAAGCTCGAACAAATCCGGGATTCGATTGCGCGACGGCGTTCGGGCTTCGAGGACGTCCTCCCGCGATAAAACGCGTCGCTCTTGTCGCGAGCAGATACGCGAGAACGTGTCCGATCAGAGAGGGAGAGAGAGAGAGAGAGAGAGAGACTGCTTCGAAAGAGTAGTCGGCGACGTTTCCCGGAGCAATTAACGTGTTTCTAACACAGTCTGTCGGATCGGAAATCGGCCGTTCGAGATCGAGGATCGTCGGAGATTGGACGAGAACGCTTCCGCTTTGAGAAAGTCGAGCGATCCGGTCGCGAGAATCAATTAATATTACCGAATCGATTGGCCGGCGAGCGATACGCGCGTCTGATTGGATTGCCGATAATCAATGTCGTCGTTCCATTACGTATCGGCGTGCAAGGGTGCGCGGGGTGCAGGGACGCACACGCGTCGATCCGACGGAGCACCCGTTCAAGGAGGGAGCCGGTCGCGATTGATTATCTTGCGATAATTTCGCCGCGATCGTGCCAGAGAGAGAGAGAGAGAGAGAGAGAGAGAGAGAGAGCAAGTCGAGCACGAACGACGATTACACGATCGCCCGGTGCTTTGACGCGACTCTTCGGCCTCTAATTTGATCAGCCAGCCTCCTGCTCTCCCGAGCCCCTTAAAACCCCTTTTGCACCTTTTACGGCCCGCCGCGTCTCGGCGGAACGTTTCGAGCTCGGAAGAGAATCGCGAGCATCTTCGCTCGGAGACGCGGGATCAAAGCTCCTTCGGGACCGGAGCTGGCTCGTTGCATTCACCGATGATAAAGGTAGAGAGCAAGCATGAAACCCGAGACACTCCAAAGAATCTCCGATGCCCATTACTTTTGTTGTTCCCAGCTTTGAACTTCGACCAGCGCGCTCGATCGACTCCCGAACAATTGCTGCGCGAGACGGGAACCAATCGGAACGATGGATCGTGAACAAAGGTTATTCTAGAGAGACTTTGGTACGGTGATTTCTCGCGGAAATGTTCGGAGAGCGAAATTGAAACCGGCTGATCCGAGAATACTAAGAGAGAATACTAAGTCGCCATTCTTCGGGCCTCGCGGCTCGTTTTTTTATAGAGAAAAGGCAGCGGTATGGGGGAAAAAGCACGTCGGTGTGCATTATGGGAAGAGGAGATGCGACTATTCGAGCCTTGCGTCTCGTTTTTATAGTCACCGATTGATAACAGCTATAAAAACGAGACGCAAGGCTCGAATAATCGTATCTTTTCTTTCCAAATTTGTTCATTTTTGCGCGCAAAGGAATTAGGGAGAAGAAAGCGAATTAGGGAGAAACTCACACCCAACCATTTTGTGTTGTTCCCCTGGAATTTCATCCCTTAGCATCGACGTAGCAATAAATTACGTAGGCGTCGGACTAGCCAAGTGAAATTACTGTAATTGGTTTTTGAATAGATTTTGGTCATTCTTTCTATTATTCCAACTTTTCTATATAAAACCAGTCGGCGCATATGTTTTTATTATTTTTCTATTTGCACATAATTCTTTCAATTGCAAAATGCACCGGATAAACAACCATGTAACATTGCACATAGCTAATTATTCATGTTATTCAAATAACCTCGTCATAACCTCGGCATCGAGGTAGCAATAAATCACGTAGGCGTCGGACTAGCCGAGTGAAATTGCCGGTAACCCGAGATTCGGCATTTCCGGGAGAAATTACAGCATCTCGCGAGTTGGATTGCGCAACGTCTGGCCGGCTAAAATCACAGTCGCCGAATTAGTTCGGGCGTCTAACGCATCCCCGATTCTGTTTGCGAATGCGATAGAATTACACTCGAACGGATGGATGCGGAGGCACGCGGTTCCCGGCGTTCAGAGTTGATTACGCGGAGTTTAGAATAAACCGTGGCCCACGTTTGATTACGTTCGCAGCCGGAGCGACGCTCACGGGTATCTTGTTCGGGTGGATATCGGTGAATTAACAAGCGATCCAACTTACGTCAAATGGAAGATTATGCTCCGCGGAGCGAAGGATCGAATTGTCGGCGTCGCGACGAGGGGGACGGTCGCGTGTACGTGTGCAATTAATACTGGCTAAGACTAGTTAGATCCCGATTCCGCCAACAATTCGCGAACGCGCGTTTTTCCGTCGCATTTTTCTCCTCCGATGACATCATCGCAGTCCTCTGGATAGATTAACCTCGCGGATGCATAGTCGGATAAGCCTGGAAGGTCTGCAACCCGTTCGACAAACCGATGAATATTGATGGAATTGTAAACGAAGAAGATGCGTTATTAGCTTCGCAGCCGGGTTAGACGGATTACGCGGCTTCAAGGTGGAAGCGATTAACTGTTCGCCGTGTTTGCGGCGAGACGCAACGAGAACACGGATCCTAGAGATCTTCTCGAACTTCTAATATTTCGTGTCAATTGGATCCGTCGATTGGATCGCTTTCCAAAAGCATTGTACGATGGGATAATGCTTAATTAATCCGGCGTTTCTCAAGATGGGACGTACAGTGGCAAAAAGTGTTCGTACGCCTTTTGAAACGCGATAGCTTTTTTCAAGACTTAACTAAATGACTCGAATTTTTCTTTTTTTTGGATAATACAGGAACTAGTTTACTAGACGATGATTAAAAAGCTTTCTTTTTCGTTGATTTTGCTGTTACTTGGAATTAAATGGAAGTATTAAAAACTCTCGATGTTTAACTTTTTTTATATGAGTCTATAAGGAAAATTTAACGAATGGCTCAGATAAGAACGTTAAAAAACGAGAGATTTATGCTTTTTTAATTACACATTATCCATTTTCATTTGCAATCTAGAGAAAAATTAGAAAGAATTTACTGTATCTCGACTCTTACAGTACTGATATTTAACATTCTCTTAAAGAATTTTCCCGCAAATAATATAAATAAATAAATCTGTTATATAAATATTATATAAACAAATCTATTATATAAATATTACCTAAAAGAAATCTATAACATAAATGTCACATAAACAAATCCGTCAAATAAATATCATAAAAATCAAAAATCTGTTCTTTCGAATGAACGCTGTACACTCGACGACAAGATCTTACCTTCCATAGTCATGTTATCGCCCAGCTTCATTTCGATGTACGTGTTTCGGGTGGTCCCTCGTTGTTCGAGCACGCGTCGGCCGTTCGCCGGTCGCCGATCGCAGGCACTTCGTTCGTTCAGTCAGGATCGAGGCTCGATCATCGCGAGCGTCGCGCCTCGTTGCCGGTGGATCACTGTCGGGCTCGTTTTCGACATCTACGCGGTCTCCTTTCGCTCGATAGCCTGCTGCTGCTGTTGACCGGCGGTGATCGCGCTCGTTAGACGCGCGGCTCGCGGACGTCCGCTCCAGGCCATGATTAACGTCGTCCCGCGAATCGAATTATCGGCCGGCCAGCCGAGACCCGGCAGCCAATAAATCACGATCCCCCTCGATCGGCACGGGACGCGGCGCCTTTGAGCACCGCGCGGTCATCCTATCGGAAATTGGCTCCCTCTCGCTCTCTCTCTCTCTCTCTCTCTCTCTTTTTCTTCCGGTGAGATTCCCTCCTTTCCGGGTTCCACGGGTTTTCCACTGAAACGAGAGTCTAACGTCAGTGTGCACGCCTCGAATCCCGCGACGTTCTTCCTGGCAACTATTAAGAACGTTTCTACGGATCCAAAGTTAGACGTTCTAACGAACAAGTTCGAACAAAGTCAATCCGAATCGCTCGGAAGGTTCTTTCCTTCGCGGCGTTTCTCTACGTGCTCGCTCGAACATCCGCGGCGCTCGAACGTTCCGGAATAAACCGGCGAAGTCCTCGCGAAGTCTTCGAGAACAACAAACAAGAGGATCCGGGGTAGTAAGATCTCTCCTCCGGTGAACAAAAGCCGCGCAAGGCTAACTTCGAAGGCCCTAAATCCGCGGAGCGGCGAGCGAACGAGGCGAGGGATCCCCGGGAGTTCGCGCGCCGAGCTCGTCGAATTAACGTCCCGGTCCGACGCGAATTGATGAATCACGGATATCCGGTGAGCATAATTCAATGGAACGGTCGCGGAATCGCGGAACTCCGATCTACCCCGGAATTCCGTGCGTTCGGTTCGCATCGGGGTAACGATGCAAGGGAGATCTGATCGGGTTTTGCGTCACCGGATACTCGACGCGGAACAGATTTCCGTATGGCTGTCTGCGAGCATTCGTTCGACTGCGATAAATACAGGGTCGATCGACGAGAATCGATCTACGTAGCTATTAATAAGGGACCGCTGACAGAGGATTTACGCGAACGAGAGGAAATGCGTGCTGCGAGTCGAGGAACAACTGCGATTCGGCGATTTCGTCTTTCGAGGGTGCTTTTACTGTTGTTGGCTACAATCCGTAATTTTCAACGATTTTAATGCTAATGTAACAGTAAGACTATCGTACCGGTTATTTACCTATATTTAAAACATTTGTATTTTGGCCGGAATTCAATAACAAATTCGCAATTCGATCAAATAGAATTGGACAACGAATTCGCAATTCGATCAAATAGAACTCAACAACGAATTCGCAATTCGATAAACTAGAATTCAACAACGAATTCGTAATTCGACAAAATAGAATTCAACAACGAACTCGCAATTCGATCAAATAGAACTCAACGACGAATTCGTAATTCGATCAAATAGAACTCAACAACGAATTCGCAATTCGATCAAACAGAATTCAACAACGAATTCGCAATTCGATCAAACGAAACTTAACAACGAATTCACAATTCAATCAAACAGAACTCAACAGCGAATTCGCAATTCGATCAAATAGAATTCAACTTCGAATTCGCAATTCGTCAACGGAATTCGAATGACGGCAGCAGCTGATTTTCCGCGACCGATTGTAAAATAAATCGCGTGCACGAAATCCGTCGAAAATACACGGTAGGAAAATAAAGAATCCGTCTCTGTCCGATGGAACGGCGAGCATTTATCGCGACGTTTCACAGCGTTCGAGCTGCATTTCCGCGAGTGGACACCGTGCGCTCCGGTGAAACCGAAGAAGCTTCCGGGTTCAGCTGGCAAAGTAAATCCGGTGTAGCCGGGATATCTGTTTCATTACCGTGCACGACAACATCGGGACCTGTAGCGACCAAAGAAAATACCGTCTCGTTGTTTGAAACTCGCATGGGAATCTTTCGGGGCTGCGAACATCCTGCGCCCGGAAGCGCGCGAAGTTTTCCGTTCGAACGTCTTGCAGCACGTTTTAATCAACGATTTCGCTGCTCGATCGCGATAACGGTGATCGTACGGTTATGTCAAGCTTGTGTCAAGGTTACGTCAATATATATTATCAACGAAATCAGGCGTTCGTTGGCCCTCTCAACGTTTGCTCGCGCCGATCTGCCGTATGGACGGTTCAGCGTGTTTCAGTTTCCATTAGAGACGCCGCCGCCACGCGAAATTCGGAATTTCCGGAAGCTCCGAGGGGATGAATATTCCACGAGCGGAACAGGCAATACCGTCGGAGGAGGCATTACACGATTTTGTATCCGGCCCTCGGAAACAGCATCGCGAACGTGACGCGCGGAGCATAAAATTTGCAAATACATGCTTCAAAACGCCCTCGGAATCCTTTGAGCGCGGTTCGTTTCCCGGCGGGACTCGAAAATAGTTTTACGGGTGCTCTCTCTCTCTCTCTCTCTCTCTCTCTTTCTTTCTCTCTTTCTCTTTCACTTTTACCGCACAGAAACTATCGCGCGAAAAGCAGAGGTCTGTAAATGTAAAAATTTGTCTAAATTCTCTTCGTTTCATGCCGCATTCTTCTTCGTACNCGGTTCGTTTCCCGGCGACTCGAAAAAATTTTTTTGGGTGCTCTCTCTCTCTCTCTCTCTCTCTCTCTTTCTTTCTCTCTTTCTCTTTCACTTTTACCGCACAGAAACTATCGCGCGAAAAGCAGAGGTCTGTAAATGTAAAAATTTGTCTAAATTCTCTTCGTTTCATGCCGCATTCTTCTTCGTACACACCGTACACAGTAATTATTAATGCAAATATTACTTCTTGTTGCGACAGAATGCTCTTCCTTGTACGAAACAGCAAAACGAAACTTTTAAATCGGATAATTAAACCTTTTTCAAAGACAAGGGAGAAATTACTGTACTGTGACCATCAAATCGCGTAACGTGGCCTCCGAATTCCCTTCGAATCGTGGCTTGTGGTCTCCGAATTGCCTTCGAATCGTGGCTTGTGGCCTTCGAATTGCCTTTGAATTGCCTTCGAATTTCCTCCGAATTGCATTCAAATTGTGTCACGTGGCCTTCGAATTGTCTTCGAATTGCTTTCGAATTGCCTTTGAATTTCCTCCGAATTGCTTTCGAATTGCTTTCGAATCGCGTCGCGTGGCCTCCGAATTGCCTCGGAATCGTGGCAAAATGGGCCACCATCTTGTCGCATCGAGGGAAAATCGACGTTTGGCGGCGGAGTGGCTGCGACTTATACCGCTGATCGAACCGGATCGCTTAATCCGATGCGAACGGCGAAAGGGAAGAAAGGATTTCCGTGGAAGGCAATCTCGCGATCCATATCCGTGACGATTCGCGGCTGTTCCCATTCTACGCGCGCTGCGTTTTACGTGGGATAAGGGTATCTGTCAGGATTAGCTCCTGGAGCACCGTCGAGTCCGGCAGAAACTATCGGCGAGGACCGAGGACGCGTTTATCCGTCGCGGAGCACGCTCTCCTATCGCCGCACCACGGAGCAGAGAGCACCCAACGGAGGTAAAATTTATTTTCCGTTTGCTATCGCATATTTATGCCGAATTTTTTCATCCTTTTACAATGAGAATTTCTAGCTGTTATAAGGTTATTTCCTTAAGGTTATTTCACGATGATCCGATGCTGAACTGATGCTAACTGATCGAGTAAGTAATTATAAATAAAGCGACAACGATGCAACAACTAACTAACGCAAACTAATTAACCCCTTGTCATACTTTAACGAGTCTGACAAGTGGCGGAGATGTTTAGTAATACCCTGAATAAAGTAACCTGAATGAAATTCTGATTTGTTCTCGTCGATAGTTAAACATTTTGGTAAATGCAACGTCGCGTAAATAACAGAAAAATCTTATCAACTCCTCCGAAGTTTTCTATTTTCGTTTAGAAGCCGACGGACAATCGTGGAGAATTTACCGTGCCCTTCAAGGCGTTTCCGCGACGGGGGCGGGAAGCGTCCCACGAGATGACAATTCAGCCACGCCTCCGCATTTTCGCGCAGACCACGCACCCGGATGACGGTATCGCGACGCGGTCTCGCATTTCGTATTCCTGGCAGCGGTCTCGTATATTCGCCGAGCTTAAGGTAAACCGCAAAAAGCTCGGGGAGCACGTCGAACGTCGCAGTACACTTGACACGGCGCGCGGAGCGGAGCGACCGCTGCCGACGCGTTATGTCCATTCGAGGGAACTCGGTTGAGTGTCCCTAAAAGTGTTCCTCTCTGAGAAATTAGATCCGAGACACAACGGGGTCGCCTCGGCGAACTGTGATTTTTCCTGTTCGGAACATTTCGGAGACCGCCTTTTAATACGAAAGCGAATCGTGATCCGGGAAAATCGATTATATGGACGAAGCGATCGTTGCTCATCTTTCTGGTTCTATACTCTTTACAACTGTCACTGATTTATTTATTCATTCATCTATTTATTTATTAATTTATTCATTCATTCATCCATTCATTTATTTATTCATTTATCTACTTATTCATTTATCAACTTATTTATTTATTTATTTAAACATTTATTTATTCATCTATTTATGTATTTATTAATTAATTAATTTATTTGTTTATTTATTAACGGGCAGAAACTACTTGAACATCTTTTAAAACGCGATTACTTTTTCCGAACTGGACTAAACGACTGTTCTATTGTACAATAATTAAAACAGTTTTTTCATAAATTTTCCTATTACTTGTAACGCCAAAGATACCAAAAAAGCTCTCGTATATTCAAGTGCAAAATTTTCGAACGAATATTAGCAAGTAAACGAGTGCTTCCTTTCCGTTCTATTTACCAAATTCCAGTCACAGTAAATTCTCCCTAGTTGCCGCTAAATCAGCTCTTCCCAGATTGTCCACTTTCGTTTCCAAGCCGAGCGTCAATTATTGAGAATTCATTGCACTCTTTCTTAGATAACGCAGACCACAGTGCGTCAGCTTCCGAAATAAAAGCTTCGTATGTTACGAACTGGCGTGAATTCGGTTTTTACAATCCAGTTTTTCCTTTGATCCTGCGCGACCACACCTCGAAACGAAAAATTCTCGGTGCTCGATGGCGGATTCGTTGCTCGAGAAGAATTATTTCGCTGGCAGAAAAAAAAACGCGATAGATCCTGGCGCGGAGCCGACAGGCCAATCGCGAGGCCGGAAAACAAAAGCTGCCCGCCGATGTAACACCACCCTCTCCCTTCCCGCCCCTAACCCTTTTTATATCCCGGCGTTTCCCTGTGTCTCGTGTCCTTTATCGTATGACCGACGAGTTCTTCGGCTTTTGTCTCCATGCTCCGTTTGCAAACATCTCTTTCATCCCTTTTCATGCGATCCAACCCCCATCCTCCCCTCTC